TAGGTTTTTAAAAATGTTCCTGTTCACCTTCAGTGCTACACTAAAATCCTTTTAATTATCTCAGAACTATAAGCCAAGACTCTCCATTCAGTCCTTAGCAGCAGCATTCCACTGACACATCAATGAATAAATGTATGAAATCAGCAAGACTCTTAAACATAGCTGCCTAATGAAGGGAATGTTCTCAGTGTCTCTCATTCTCAGTTTCACATTCTGGCCAGCGCTACAATTCAATCAAGGAGATAAATCAATATGAAGCGGTGGATGGGCTCAGTTCTACATTATGTTTTTCTGTTATTTCTGTGAGCTATTTCAGGTCAGATATTCACTTAAAATTCAGTATTTTGCACTGTTCCATATGTTCAAAACCAATTTTTAGAAAAAGGAAAAAAAAAAAACCCCAGGAATAAAGAACTTCTACTTACCCAAGAGTGAAAAATGCACACGGCTGAAGTCTAAGCTTAGAACTGTCAGATAAATTACATTTGCAATTCAATTTCAGAACTGAGCAACAAAATAAAAAAAAAAAAATGGAAAAAAGGGTGGTGAAAAAAACCCCCCATTTCGGCTGGGACCCACCACCTCATTACCAGGTGACCAAAAACTAGCAATGAAACCCAGGTATAGTGGAGTATGTGCATGTTAAAGCACAATACACAACCACTTGATAGTAAATCTAAATCGTTATTCAACAACCTTCCATTTATAGCTCTTTTACTTCAAAACTGGCAGTACCAAGTTCTCATATCATCATTATTATACAGGATTTATATAGCGCCAATTTTTTTATATATGTATATATACACATATATATACACATATATATACATACACACACATATATATACATATATATATACACACACACACACACACAATGATTACATTGGAAAAATTTGATTCACAGAAAGGTTACATTTTGCCTTTTTAAGCAAATGTATCTTCTTAATTAAATTGTGGCTTTGATTATAAAGATTGATTTGATTTTTAGATTGTAAGCCCTCACAGGCAGGCCCCTCCTTACCCTCCTGTCCTGATTTGTATTGTGATTGTAATGTCTTCCTTATATTGTAAAGAGCTGCACAAACTGTTGGCGCTATATAAATCCTGTATAATAATAAAGCATAGATGATGAGAAAGTAACAGGAATGTAGCACTTTAATAAAGTGGCATGGCACTTTTCTGCTTGACTAGTGGCTAGTAAGAAACTTCACCTCCAGTGATTCCAGGCTCCTTCTGACAGCAGTGGAGGTGTCCAGGGGAAGCAACTAGTATAGTCCATTGTTCCCCTTCTTGGAATGACTGCCATAGCTGATCATGTGCTTTCTTTTGTGCCGTCATGGGCAACAAAGCAAACAATTGCTAACAGACCCTTAACAGAAACACAAATAAACTCCAGCAGAAAGGGCCCACAACTCAGAGGGTCGCCTAAAAGAACTTTCCTGCAGAAGCTAGCATCCACAGGAGGACTGGACGTCCACCTGGTAAAACTTGGTTCAAACTCTGTGTGAACAAAGGACCAGGTGGCAGTTTTGCAGATTTGGAAAACTGAAGCCTGAAGGCCCAAAAGTCACCAACACTTTTAGTAGAGTAAGCCTTTACCAAAAAGGGTGGGACTTTACCCTTTAGTCTATAGGCCTCAGTAATAGTTCAACAAATCCACCTAAAGACAGTGGAATGAAAAGTTGGCAGGGAGCCAGACTTTCAGATGGAAGCAGTAGCAGAGAAGAAGACATTAACAGCTCAAATCATGTCTATACAGGGGAGATCATTTTTTTAATAAGATCTTCAGGGGCAAAACATAAGGATGATAGGGCAAATCTTCTGGTTAAGGTGGAAGGCAGAGCCTAGCTTAGGAAGAAAGGAGACTCTAGGACTCAGCACTACCTTATGCTTATGGATGATCAGTAAATGTCAAGGATGCCAATTCAGAAACCTGTCTAGCAGAAATTATGGCAATGATGAAGGCAACCTTGTGAGTAAGGTCAGAGAAATATCCCAGAGATGTTCACATGGCGGTTTCTGCAGAGCTGACAGGACTAAATTAAGATCTCACAGAGATACCAGAGTGCATATAGGGGGAACAACTTGAGCCACCCTCTGCACAAAGATCTTTACTAGAAAATGAAAGCCAACGGGCCTCTGAAAAAGAAATCCCAAGACAGAAATTTGACCCTTGATAGTACTCAAGGCTAAACACTGGTCTAGTCAACACTGATATAACAAAAACATGTGTCCCACGTAGTACATCAGCTGATCACTCCAGTGTTTGTAAACAACTGGGGACACAGAGTACTATGTGTCCCCAGTAATGAATGAACAGGAATGCTTTACATCACTTCCCGTTCGTTTATGATTTTCTCAATGGGTGGAAGCTTCATATAGAGGCTCCTATCCATTCATAATATATTTAACTATCTCCAGTTTCTGAACGAATGGGAAGCCTCTGTACTCTGTGCTTTCCATTCATTTAGTGCCGAGGCTGCAGAAAGAGAGATTGAGGACTCAATTTCCTGTCCTCAATTTCTTTTTCTATTTCAAAAAGGAAAAGTCAGGGGTCTGTTTAATATAAAATGTAATAACTGTGAGGGATGAGCTGATTGAAGGAGTAGATCTAGTTATTCAGAGGAGGTGGAATAGGCTGCCTGAAGAGGAGAGTTTTAGGGGAACGCCTAAAGGCAGACAGATTAAGAGGATAGCTGAATAGGTCATGGTAGGGAATTCCAGAGGATGGGAGAGGCTCTGGAGAAGTCCTGGAGGCGAGCACAGGAAGAGGTGATGAAGGAGCTAGACAGCAGGAGGAGCAGAGAGGACAGTTTGGGTGATATCTTGAGATGAGGGTAGAGATGTTGCTTGGGGCAAAGTTGTGGATGGCTTTGTATGTTAGTGTTTAGAATTTTATGCATTGCGCTATTGGGAACCAGTGGAGGGATTGGCAAAGGGGTGGCAGCTCACCTCACCGGTTGGTGAGGGGGATGAGTCTAGCAGCAGCATTCATGATAGACTGGAGAGGGGGGAATAGCATTTTTAGAGTTAGGCCAATGAGAAAGGAGTTGCAGTAGTCAAGGAGAGGTATGACGAGAGAGTGAATTAGTAGCTTTGTGATGTCAATTGTTAAGGGGTGAATTTTGGAAATGTTACAGGAGATAAAGACGGCAATATTTAGTCAGTGATTGGACATGGGGCCTAAAGGAGAGGTCAGAGTCCAGGATAACACTGAGCAACCTAGCATGTGTTGAGGGACTGATAATTGTGTAACTGATCTCAATGGAGATGTTAGGGAAAGGGACACGAGGGGGAGGAAATATGTGCAACACCCATACTGAGGTTTGTAAGTAAATTAGTTATGCGTGATAAGCTGAGGAGTAGAGAGATAGTTCTGAGTGTCATTGGCATAGAGATGGTATTGGAAGCAGTGGGAGGTTATCAGTTGACCAAGGGAGGATGTGTAGGTAGAGAATTAGAAGGGGTCTGCAGACAGGAGGAGGTAGAGTTCTAGGTGACCATGAAGGTGCGCTAAGCTAGATAGGAGGAAAACCAGGAAAGAGCCAAGTCTTGGAGACCAAGGGAGTTGAGTTTTTTGAGGAGGAGTGGGTGGTCGACTGTATCAAAGGCAGCAGAAAGAAAGTCTAGGACTATGGAGTATAGAGAAGTGTCCATTATTTTTGACAGTTAGTGAGTCATTAAATAGTTTTAGGAGGGCAGTTTCAGTGGAGTGTTGTGGGCTTTCTAATCAATCCAACCACAAGTCATCTTCAAAAGTGGCCAGTCAAAAGCCTTAGGGTCCAAGCACAGACATGAATGGTCACCTAATCCAGCTGGATCTGTCAACTGTGATCTGACCCCTATGGGTACCCTGATAACAGACAAACAGCACAGAGGTATACAGCTATAGATATGACAAATACACTTGCAAAAAGCACTTAAAACCCTTCATGCTTGACAGACAAGCATTTATTTCCTTTACGAGGCCTTTCTTTCCTAGGTTTTGTTTGCTACTAAATTACAAGTGCAGTTTGTATTGACAGATCACATAGCAGATGTAGTAATACGACTCAGACCCAGACATCATTAGGATTTTGTGTCCAGCCAGAAACAATGTTTGAGAAACATCCCATTAAAGGAACAGACTGTCAGCTAGCCACTGAGGACCATTAAGAAACATTTTCCGCTGATAATAGATCGCTGTTCAAGACATTTTCAACTAGGAGTGGTATAGTGGGGATCATCCCTGTATGTTTCAGTACTCTGTGCATGCTGTTTTCAATTTAACTTAATGAGTATCTTCTTTGTAGGAACACATTTGTTGTAATTGCATTTCACAGGTGTGAAGGCCTCTAAGAATACGGATGACCCTCACCATCTGTAATTACAACAGGCTGTTACAGAGTCAGAGGAGGCTGGAAGCCAGGCAGAAGTACATAAGTCAGCAATATTGACTCAGTGTAGAAAATGTTCCCCTTTCAAAGAAATTTTTCTCTAAATATACTGTTCTTCAAACAGTTTTGTACATGCAATACATTTTTTTCTAATATACTTGTGAAAAAGCAATTTTTCTTCTCCTCTCCTATTGTGTCCATTTTAGGACATCCCTGCTATTTACTTTCTGTCAACTGAAGAGTGCACTAATACATACATACATACATACTCTTACATACTTAACACATGTTCTGCTTTTACAGCACAGTAGCAGGCATGCAACAATAATCCTTCTAATATGGTATTGTATATACCATCAATAACAATAACCTATATCATCACAAGACACTTTAAATCAGGGCTCAAAATTTCAGGCCCTGAAATTTACTAGCCAGGCCTTAAGAGTTACTCGCCACAAGTTGCCCCACCTTACCCTTACCCTGCCCCGACCTTAACTCCGCCAGGTCAGCGGTGTGACGCAGAGTACAGAGATCAGTAATAACACAGAGTGCAAAGGTCAGCAGTACAGAGGTCAGTAATGTGACGCACAGTGCAGAAGTCAGTAATGTAACACACAGAAGTCAGGGGTGTAAGGCAGAAAGAACAGGGACTTGCAGTGCACATAGCTGATCTGATTTAGGTGCCCTTTTCCTCTTCCTCACCCGATTTAGGTGCCCTTTTCCTGGTGCTGGTGTGGTGGGTAGTAAAGAGATGAATCCTCCATGTTCACAGCTGAAGCATCCCTTCAGGTCCCACGATGCAAAAACTTTGAGCCGGCCAGTAGCAGATGCAGTCTTCCTCCCAGCCTATGGCAGATGAGGTGGGCGGAGGAAGCTGCAGGTGGCCGGAGTGAAGGGAAGACAGCCGGACGGATTCTTCTCCTCCTCGGCGGCTCTGTAGCTGCAGCGGCTGAGGAGAAGAATCCGTTTGGCTGTCTTCCCTTCATTCCGGCCAGAGAAGAGAGAACTCAAGAGAGCGATCGCCACAAAAGCAGCGCTAGTTTCACCTCCCTCAATTGCGAGGGGGCGAGTAGAAATTTTTAGCCCTGCTTTAAATGTTATATAAAGGATACAAGAATACCATCTCCTCTGAAGAACAGTTTCATATACTAACTACCACTTTGTTCTGACGGTGAAGACTGTGCATTCTTGATTCAAGATTTAAACCTTTTTTTTCCCCCTTTCCCAATAACAATAATCAAATAAAACAGCAAGATTTGATGGCCGGGTTCACACGTTTCTGCTATGTTTAAATGGCACTCCAACAGACGAAGCGTCGCAGCTCCCACACGTATGCATTGCAGTGAACTACTATTGTGCCTTGTGCCATTATCTGAACTCTGCTTACGACACATTGGAAAATGTAAAGTCAACCTGTATCATGAAATTTAAAGCAAAGTAATGATGTAGATTTTTAACATGACTGAGTAGTGCCAATACAGAGTTTGACCTGCTTGATGTGCGACTTACAGCTCCAAAATTTTGGTCAACTTTCTAAAAATTGGTATTTGGATAAGGCTAGCCTAGAAGCCCTCATGTAACAGTGCTACCAATAGACTGCTCCTACCAATAGACTGATTAGAGTCTAAAATTTCAAGGCAGTGTGCATGCTTGCCCCATACCTATAAATTTGCCGCAACTGCAGTGGAAAGTAAAGCAGGTTGGCAGGCGTTGAGATGACAGCATTCCTCAAATATGCATGGTTAATACTGCTGATGTACTTTTGGGATTTAAACTGAATAGCAAATAATTCAGCACAACACGCAACTGGAACATATAGTTAAAAATGCAAGTAGAAAACCCCTTTGTGTGCTCCTTGTTGCAGATTAGAGGCCATCTCCCTGTTCAGAATGCCTTCTAATTGGCTGTTTGAAGAGTTTAAATTGGCAGCTCCTTTTTTTTTTGCAGTTTTGGTGGAAGGAGGCAGGAGAGATGTAGCTGCATGAATGGGTGAAGGTCTGCTTTAACTACCTTGAAACTGAATGGGGTATTGGCACTGCTGTACCAGTAAAAGAAAGGAAATGTATAAACGTATGACGAGGTAATTTCATAGAAGCATCAGCTAGAAATAAGGCTCTGTTGGACAGGTTACTCTCAAACAATGCGGTACTTCATATAAAAATAAATAAATACAAGTCTGGATATCAGTGACTATAACTATTTAAGTTTATTTAAGTTGTAAACAATGAACTGGTACTGCAGGGGTCCCCACAATTTTTTGTGTTGAGATCTACTTTTCAAATGACGAGCTACATGAGATCTACCAACGGAAAAAAAAAACCTCACTCGCTCTCTCTCTCCTGGCTGTCTTTCCTCATTTTTTCTCCTGGCTGTCTCTCTTCGCTCTCTCCCCTGGCTGCCTCTCCTCATTTTTTTCTTCTGGCTGTCTCTCTTCGCTCTCTTGACTGTCTCTCCCCTCTCTCTCCTGGCTGTCATTCCTCATTTTTTCTCCTGGCTGTCTCTCTTCGCTCTCTCCCCTGGCTGCCTCTCCTCATTTTTTTCTTCTGGCTGTCTCTCTTCGCTCTCTTGACTGTCTCTCCCCTCTCTCTCCTGGCTGTCATTCCTCATTTTTTTCTCCTGGCTGTCTCTCTTGACTGTCTCTCTTCGCTCTCTCTCCCCTGACCGTCTCTCCCCCCTCTCTCTCCTGGCTCACCTTGCTGTATTTTGCAAACAGTGCAGTGCAACAGGCTGTGTAAACTAATATTCTTTGATGTAATACATAGCACTTCAAGCACCAGTATCCACCAGAGAGGTGTCAGGGAACTTGGCTCAGCAGACTCGGGCTAATAGGTAATCATGTGTGCACACCTAAATAAATATACCAATATGGAATAAAGGGGCTGCCATTCACACCCTTCGTGATCTACCAGCATCAGCTTTGAGAGCCACTTATAGATCAGGATCTACCTAATGGGCACCCCTGTGGTAATGGAAACATAAAACACTTATTTTAAGAGAGCAAATTTTCCAAAGCTGATGGCAGCTCTTCAAGACTTAGAATGGGAGGGAATATTGTCATTGAAGAACAAAGAACATAAATGAGAATGTTTCAAATCAACTGCTTGCAAACACACTGCAAAATATATTTCCATGGTCAATAATCTTCAGCCCATATAGTGAACTTAAGAGTAAAAAGTTATTCACTTTAAGGCCATTGAAAAGGACAAGAGGGAACTCTGTGTCTGGAGGAAAAAAAGTTTAACCTTGGCATACGGAAAGGTGTCGGCACAGTAAGAGCTGTAAAAATGTTGAATAGGCTACCTCAGCAAGTATTTCTAGCCAGTTCAGCTGATTATTTTTTTTGGAGCTGGATGCTTTTTAAATGCACAGAATATAACTGGATATTAACCAGTAATAATGCCATAGATTTGCTGCTCCAGGTAATATCCAATCACATTAGGGGATTTCCACTGTTGGATCAAATCAGACCATACTTTGTAAGGATTTTTTTTTGCTTTCCTCAACTGTGGGTATAACCATAGAAACCTGGCTTATATTAAACTGAAATCAAAACATTTTGATTTTTTTTATTTGCATGTATGAACGGGGGTGTGAAAAAAAAAAAAAACTTACTTGTCCAGGGACTTAAGCAGGGGCCCAATCTACTTGTGCTGATATAAAAAATAATTTTAACCAAAATCGTATTTAACCGTGTGAAGAAGCGCTTCTCATTGGTCAGTGTGGTCAGGTGACTACACTGACCAAAGAGTGCTCGCAATTTGCGAGCGAAATAAAAAATCCATAGTGCAGGGCTGCACTGGATGGCAGTATGGGGTACAGATAGTACACGCGTACCGGCAGAGGGGAAGGACCGTTTACTGAAAGCGAAGTGGGGGAAGAGAGGAGGCCGGATTTGAGCGGCTAATCCCATTTTCCCAAATTACTTGCACATTGTGTGCGTTAGAGAGCGCTGCAGCCCAGCTACCACACCAGTGGAATGGGGGCAGCATTTAGCTCATACATGCATGCACACACACACACACACACCATGTCCCACACGTGTTTATTCGCATGCAAATGACATTGACATTTCTATATCTCATTGTGGGGGATTTATCAAAGCACTTGACAGTTTTAGCCTCTTAGATCATTTTTTTTTAATGTGCAAATCTGTCTTTTAAACATGTACCCTGTTTCTTCAGAGCTTGCACTACTTTTCCAACTGCACGTGTTTTGCACCTGTGTTCTTCAGAGCCTGCACTACTTTTTCAACTGCATGTTTTTTGCACGTGTTTTCATCTGCACTTGTTCTGGGCTGTCTGAAACTGAAACCTGTCACCTCCAATACAGGAGTTCTAGCACAGAACAGTGCTGGCTCTCCTGTAACAGCTGAGATGGGAAAGCTGCGAGTACAGCTTTCATGTCTCACTGTTATCACGGAGCAGATCGGAGAACGGCGCTCCCAGTTCTTCATCCTGATGTTATTTGCCGTTGCCCAGGGTCCCCCAGAAGAGTGGGGGGACCCCAAAAACCACGGCAGGGAGGGAGGCAGCTGGCGGGAAGGGATGTGGCCGGCAGAGGGGGACAGTACATGGAGGGCAGCCGGCGGGGGCTAGGGACGGAGCAGCAGACTAATTACAAGTGATGTAGGAGTCTGTAAAGCCTCTGAAATCACTTGACCGGCTTCCCCGCTGTACATTTAGCCCCGCTTGCCCACAGCAGGACTAAGGGCCCGCTCACACCAGAAGTAGTGCAGGCTCTGAAGAAAACAGGTGCAAAACACGTGCAGTTGGAAAAGTAGTGCAAGCTCTAAAGAAAACAGGGGCACATGTTAAAAGACAGATTTGCACATAAAAAAATGATCTAAGAGGCTAAAACTGTCGCAACTGCTCTGTTCACCCCATTATGTTTGCAAAAATTATATTTTTCAAAATATTTCCATTATTCCAGAAAATGTGCTTGAATAGAATTAAGCCTCATGGAATATGTCAGACATCAAATACAAAAAGACAGTCAGAGCTTGAGAACATACCTTGAGCTGCCAATCAAAGTCTTGTAGGTATGCTGAGGACATAGCGCACACTTTCTGCAGGAGGGCATCTTTTAATTCAAATTTTCTGCTCTTCATACACTTTAAAATTGCCTCTTGATACTCTGCAGTAAACCCATTAAGTTGATTATCCAACTGGGAAGAAAAAAAAAAAACAAAAAAAAAAAAAAACCTTGGGGAAAAGGGGTGTA